TGATGCGTTATGTGTGATTTGAAAGTTGAGTAATTTTTACCATGTTTCTTTTTTCCATATAAGCCATGATACTTGAGGGTATATATTTCATGCCATAAGACAGAAATTAATTTGTTCATGATAATAGGCTATGTAGTGTTAAGCAGAACATAATGTGTAATATTACTCATGAGTAAGGACCCAAAATATGTCTATAAACAACCATTATAAACCATTGTTGCTGTGGTGTGATCAGAATTGAGCTCATTGTTTTGTGAAGATTCCTTTTTATGGCAGTAGAAGATTTCAATTTTATTCTGTGGGAAAAGGCATTTTAAACCCCATATACAGGGTTTCCAACCAGTCTTTTAAGTCTGTGGTCAGTGGTATAGGAGCATGCTAGTGTGACGCACACAGAGCTGGACTGCACATAAAATGTGATGCAAGGATGATAAAGTGGTATGAAATAGGTGTTAATCGGCCCTTTGCGTGGCATAGACTAAATGAGCAGTCATTATGCAGCAATATGTGATACTCTGTTGGGCAGGTTCTTCAACATGAGCTGACAGCAATCAGAGAAGCTTGCATCAAGTTGGAAGGAGACTACAAACCTGGCATCACATTCATTGTAGTGCAAAAGAGGCATCACACAAGGTTAGGCAGTTACTATATCAAACAGAATTCTCACTGAATTTGTTTTACCCAGAGAACTAGTTATATGATTAAAATTTGTAAGGAACACCTGCATTTAAGTTCATGTAGATAAAACTGTGATACATTTCCTGTTTAGAATAATCTGAAACAAGTGCCATTGCCTTTCATCTTCACCATTATGAAAATCCTAGAGAATCAGGAAGAATGATGATAATGTTAATTTATTAGGCAGGAACATAAGTGTCATCAAAGGAGTGCAGAAACTCTTCTACTCAGAAATAAACTTTGAAAATCCAAGTATATGTTCATGTCTCTTACCAAAATGCAGTATACTTTTTTTTCGTAATATTCTTCCATTCTTGTTGTGTGTTGTGAAATTATAAAAAATATGAATCCGTATAACTTCCACCCATTCTATTCATAGGTAGGGAAAATTACATCAACAATAAATGTTATTAAGGAACAGGTCTGACTTTCATAAACATGTTTGTTTTAATACCAGTATACTTTTACTGATATTTTTGCACTTTAAAAGTGCCTCTGTATTTGCCACAGTGGCACCACAGGCTGATGGGGCTTGTATGTGCTTTGTGGATCACTTTAATGTATAAACTGTATTTATGTGATTAATGGTGAAACAGCACTGAACACAAACCATTTTATAAATTGTACTATATATGGTCTACCAACATTTGAGTAGAATGGACAGAAGGAAGTGGTGGGCTGCAGAAGGATTTTGTATTAGAGGTAATGGTATTTTCTAGTTTTTGTGCATGTATTTTGCTTTTTGTATTAGTGATGAATGGTGTCTCATCTGTATCTGTGTGTTATCTGCAGGTTATTCTGTGCAGACAAAAAGGAGCAATCAGGTAAATCTGGCAACATCCCAGCTGGAACAACAGTTGATGTGGGAATTACGCATCCAACAGAATTTGACTTCTACTTGTGCAGTCATCAAGGCATTCAGGTTTGTTTTAGCAGTGACTATTTAAGTGCTACGGTCAATTTTTCAGTGTCGATTGAGCATGGCCATCTAAGTCTACCAATTTTTGCTGTCAGTTTGAAACTCCTACTTGAAAGCAAGAAACTGCTGCTGGCAGCAATAAAAATATATGTTTGAATTAAAAGAAATTAAGTTCAAAATTCAAAATAGACTCAAAGTTAGTGGCATGTCAATGGCAGAGGCTACAACTGAGATGGTTAATGTGTTATGACAAGGGTTTGTTTGATGGTTTATCAGACTCACAGTAACACACATATTGGGGTTGTTGGTTGTATAGCTGCTGCTGCTGCTGTTATTCTTTGTGGCAGTACAGTACAGTAGGTGAATACTTTGTTTTGTATTATGTGAAATTTATATAATAGTTTGAATTGTACTTTATAATATGTATTGTATTATTATTATGACTTTTTCCACATCCTATTGTCATCTGACTGTCTTATGGATCCATGGAATGTAAATAAATTATTATTATTATTATTTTACTGATTAAGCTTCTGCTTGAACTTCAGAGGCTTTGTATTAGGTTCCGTATAATGCGTTCTGTTTACTGTGCCGTATCGAGCATATAACTAGATAAGGCAAATGGCAGTATATTTTTTTAGATGTAATATGTCAGTCATCTTTCATAGTTAGTCTGCTATCCATTTCAGGGTACAAGTCGACCTAGTCATTACCACGTCCTCTGGGATGACAACCATTTTGATTCCGATGAACTGCAATGCCTTACATATCAACTGTGTCACACGTATGTGAGGTGCACACGATCTGTGTCCATACCTGCACCTGCATACTATGCACACTTGGTTGCATTCAGAGCTCGCTACCATCTTGTTGAGAAGGAGCATGACAGGTATATGCATACATTCACCTAACCCTTTGAAGCAGAGTAGCAAAGAAATTTCCTTCATTATCATTTTATAAAGAGCATGACATTGGTCCCTGTTCTTGCCAAATGGAATTATCCATTTTGTCTTACCCCATTTCTTTTTTAGATTTAATTTAATATTATATTTCTGTTTGTGACTGGGTTTCCCAAATGGGCTTTTCCCTTCAGGTGTCCTGACTAAAATCATGTGTACATTTCTCATCTCCCTCATTCATGCATAATGCCCTAACCATCTCATCCTTCCTCTTAATTTTATCACTCTATTAATATCTAGTGAAGATTTAAAATTGTGAAGCTCACATCCTCCTGTTACTTCCTGCCTCGTAAGTTCAAATATTCTGCATAGCATTTGTTCATTTTTCGTATTTCAATCCATCTGATGCTGGATTCTGTTTAAAGAAGCTGTTTCTGAAGAACCAGTCTGGTATCTTATAGTCATGTTTCTGTTATTGTCTTATTTCAGTGGAGAGGGTTCACATCAGTCAGGATGCAGTGAGGATCGAACTCCTGGTGCCATGGCACGTGCCATTACAGTTCATGCTGACACAAAGAAGGTTATGTACTTTGCTTGATGTGTGATTGTTGGTAAGTAATTGTTAATATTTTACTTTCAGACTTTCTTCATTAACATTTCACAGAATATTCTTGATGTTATTATATTGTGACAGCATGTTTAATAAGTCCCATCAGCCATAAAGAACCCATATAAAATCAGTGAAATTGTTACAGTATTTTAGCTGACAGTATGTGTTACTAATTGGAAGGGGTCTTTTCTATTGATTGTTATGATTCTTCTTGCCAGTGGGCTACATATCCGTACAATCATGTTACACCAATGCCATTGCTTATACAGTTGATGAATTTAGGATGTTAACCAAGCAACTCAGTACTGTTGAAGACAACAGTTGGGTTAGATAAGTTAAATCTCCAGATGGAGAACATTTAGTGGGCAGCCATGTTACTGTGCACTGATTGTGTGTGTACAGCGTATTAACATTAGTTTTGCTGTGAATTGATGTGATAAAATATTGTTAGTTGAGCCTTCAGTCATGTTCCTTTATACAATTATGAAATCAGTGTATTCCTTAAGTTACGTCATATTTATACAAGTTACATGCTTCCATGTGATAATCATGTGAGTGCACAAAACTTAATTTTACCTTAAACCTGGTAATCAGCTGTCTATTCAGTCTAATAAATCACTTCATGTTACAAACATGATGAGAATGTTAATATAACAGACAATTAAATTGATCCCACTATAAACTAGGCTTTTATAATTTTTAATATAGTTCACCCATAGAAGTGAACTATTAATGTATTGTGCTGGTAGTTTTGGTAGCTTTTAGTGTTATGGACTAGTCAGATCCAAATTTCTTCATTTCTCCATTCAAGGTTTCCATGTGCTTCAAAATAAAACTTGAATGATGTATTAATATATCTGTTGGAATTCATTTATTCCGTATTTTTTCTTTCACAGGAAAGTATCAAGACATGTCATCCATTTGTGTGATTGTGAAACTGGTATGCACCATTATGACAAGCACCAGATCATGTTTTAAAACAGACTTTTTTTATATAGTGTGTAAATTGTTGCATGGTCCCAATACAACCAGTCTGCGGAAGAAAACACCAATGAAATACATTCAAGTGGAATGTTTAAATTGTACATATTTGAATATATCGAAGTGGAAAGTGACTGGAAAATGTGTTTCAGGTACTGGGTATGGACTGTGTGAATTAAGGTGGTGAACTTTGCTACTTGTATGCTTGAGCAAATGGAAGTGAATGAAGCAATTAATATCACAGCGTAGCCTACTGTTAGAAGTAGTGTTTGAATATACAAGCCGGGAATTGAAGATCATTGCATTTAATCATGTAGACATGAATTATTTCCCTCCCTATCATTTCAACAAGAAGTAGGGAAATTTTTGTGTTCTTTTTGAAGAAAATAATGTTGTGAAATTGCTTTTCAGACTTGTCATTTTTAAAAGCAAAGACAAAACATTATTTTAAATTGTGTATATATTTTTATGATTGCTTTTGTGTTCATAAGAATTTTATATTATGATATGAAAGGAGTTTGTCTCGATCAAAAGTTCATTGATGCCAAATATGTTTGTTCATTTTCCTTAGGCCTTCCTTTATAATTGTAATTACTGCCCAGAATACTGTATTCTGTGCAAGAAATCCATTATTTTGTGTACCTTACATATAAAATTGCAGTAAGCCATTCTACATTTCTGTTCTGTAATTGTAAGGATGTTGCACAGCTGTTTCTATTTTATTTTACTTAACTGTGGATAGTGAATTTGCAGCTAGATTTCCGTAAAGATTTTTATTTAGGAACAAAAAGTAATTTGTGTTATAAATTGCTTGTGACATCAACATTGTCTTTCAATCAAGATCATGTGACCAAATTGTTAAATATTGTGCTGTTGTTTATTTTCTCCACCAGAATCAATCTTGCATAATAAGGAAGATTGGTTGATGTTTCATGTTATGAATTATGAATATATCATGAAATTCATGACCTTTTACTACCGTTGTTATTCTGTTATCATGTGTCTTTGTGAGTATAATTCCGCCCCAGTAAGCTTGGAAACAGGAGACTGTCTTGATCAGGAAGTGATGGCAAACTGTTTGTCAGTAGTGCCATTTCTTCAGTGTCAAACATACCATTTTAAATCAAATGTGAGATGCCCATTGTTCTTGACTAATGTTATTAATTTACTTCAACACATAATGTTAAGAAAGTTTTTTAAGTTCGCAGACTTATCAGAACTTCCAATCAGACTCTGGAAATTTTTAAGATACAGTATGGAAGATAATATAACAGCAGACTTCTACTGAAATTGGTTATGATGATTGTAATCATCAGGCTGAGAACATGGCCAGAAGTGTGTGCTTTTGTTGTTATAGGTTTTAGAATGAAGTTAATAGTATATTTTTCTTGAGTTACAGAAAGAAAAGAGCTTGGGTTTCATACCAAGTAGCTATTAAAGTTGACTTATTTTGATGTGGGTTTGCACTTATGAATTCCTTTCTGCAAGTGGAAGCTCCTTGCTTTAAAAAATTACATTGCTGTAGTGTTTGAAGTTAGGTGCCCTTTTTTTTGCAGAAGTCACTTAATACAGTGTCTCTCTTCTTTTTCTTTTGCTTCCCCTCCCCTCTTATGTATAAGGAGGGTAACTTTATAGTGTGCCTGTATTAACTGAGATTTATATGATCATACTTAAGAGTGAGTTATAATTTTTGTTTATAGGAGCAGACAGAAGTTTAGAAATTACAATTTCCCAGGATTATATTTGTAAAAGGCACATTTGGCATTCAGTAACTCTTCCACAGCGTCTGGTTTCTTATATGGCAGGCACTTGGTTTTTGTGTTATGAAGAGGCTATGACATAAAAGCTACTGGTATGAGTTAAAATAGACTGCAATGGAATGATTGTATACCATTATTTTTGCACTTTGGGGCAAGATCATTTTGTCGGCAGGCAGAAGTGTGCTCTTAGGAACATTGGTAACACTTGGAAGAATGTGTCAATTAAAAATTGTGTCTTTTAATGAAGGTTTTAATGCTTTTTGGTTTGCGACAACTCATATCCCCTAAAAATTTTGGGAACAGTAATCAGTCTTTAAAAAACAAACTTCCATATTGTTTTGTTTTCTTACATATAAATAATTTCACCAAAAAATATATTTCTGCCCTGGAAAATTTACATTTATCTAGGTATGTTGTCAGTATAGGATGAACTTGAATTGCTGTCCTAATTTCTGTTTCGTTTAAGAAGCTAAAATTGAAAATTTTAATATACGTTGTGGCAATAAAACTGTCAATAGAAAGTGTTATATTAATCTGATATTTTCAAGATAAATAGTACAAAATGAGTGATAAAACACTTCACATTTATTCAGTAGTACATGTCCGAAATATATACTTTTAATCACGTAATTTAAAAGATAACCATGAATTTTACAAGAAGAGTTGTGTGATACAGTTTGCAGCCTCTGCTTATAATGGGTCTGTGCAATTTGAAGGTGCTTAACACAAGGTTTTAAATGTATGAAGTATCTTATATTTGAATTATTGAGGTATGTTTTCTGTGCAGTGTCTTGGGCTGTTGACAGTGAGTATGTAATGTTTGTGTGTGCGTGCATGTAAATTTTATGAATGTTTTCAGCTACTGTGTGTTTTGTACCTAAACTCTAAACCACTTGATGTATAAAATTTGTGGGGAGCAGAGTGCACATTTTGAGAAGTTTGCTATCACTGTGTTTACTTTTTAAGTATGTTGTATTGGAATATTTTTGTTGTGTGGTAGCCAGAGGAAATTCTTCAAATTGGCTTTAGTCCATTACAACAAAATATGGCCATAAAGTCAAAGAAGTGACTGTTCTCATGTGAAGGTGTATTAATGCATACAAATTACAGGAATTATCGTGTTAACATTATAAATTTTGTAGATATTTTTTCAGTTACATAATTACACAAAGACTGTAAGGTTAGAAGACCTTACAGGTGTGTAAAGATAATGCTAGCTTGAAGATTCTTTGATATAATGTATGTATATAACCAACTACATTTTGCTCATACAACATTATTATATAGGACAAACATGTTTCATTGTTGATCACCATCCTCAGTATCATTATGCAATTGGCCAGAACATTTTTGTGCTAGATAATAAGAATGCTGTGTGTGCAAGAGGGTTGTATACGGTATGTGCATACATATAGAAACCATGTGGATTGAAAGGTTACAAGGTATAAATTCTGCTAGATATGCAAGATGGTGTCTTGTGGTTTAATGTGCATATTCACTTTTGTTTTTATTGCAGTTGTGTATGTGTTGGATGGCTGTTGACATTTTCTACTACATAGTATTCTGTGTAAAATTATTTCACACAGGCTATTGGAACAAGACTTTAGATTTGTAGCTATTTTCACATTACAGAAATGTTATAAAAATACAAGATCTACTGCCTGTGATTAAAGTAGTTTACACATTGGATACTCTTGGTAAATGCCATGCAGTTGAAAATGTGTTCAAGATACTTTGCAGTAATTATAGGAGCAGTGCAGTGAAGTTAAAGGATCTTTAATGTGTTTTTTATGGTTGCTATTTCATAGAAAACAGTTAGATTTTGGGTTTCCAGCAGTTCTTTTTCAAAAGCAAACAGTTGCTCAGCTAGTCAAGAAATTCCCCATCTTTTATGGAACATGGAGATTCATTCATGTGTTTGCATGAACCAACATTCTTTAAGTAGTTCATATTTATCTCTGAGATTTCAGCTGATTGAAGGCACAGAAAGATATTGGATTTATATTGGTGTTTCTGAGTTTATAAGTGATGGTGTTAAATTTTAGAGCATTTTGTCATAAAATATTGGAGTTTGTGAAATCCTCTTATCTGATCATTACATGAACCATTGTTCTCTAAGCCACATAAATGGTCCTTTTTTTTCAGTGAACATTTTTGATACATTGTTGTAGTTTGTAATAGTTGCATTTCATTTCCTTTGGGAAGCTGGTCTTTAGGGGAGGATGCCTGCTGTCCATGATTTGCAGGGGCACAGAGTTCTATCTCACATGAACACATTGCACTGTGTCCACAGGGAATACCCAGATATTTTCCAAACAGCCGTGAGATGCATTGGAAGACAAGTATCTTTTGGGTGGAACACATCTTTTCTTTTTCAATCCATAATATATGATTTATTTTTAAACTTATCCTTTTCTGTACTGACATGTGAAATTCTTGAAGTATGGTATGCAAGGTATGAAAAGTGATGATAATTTAACCTACAAATTGTAAGCCCATTTAAAATCAGAGATAAGTATTCAGCATTTACAGGTTGTTAAAATCTGTGCTATGTGTGTCTGTACAGTTAAACCTCATAAGAGCACCACACTTTTTCCATCACCAGTATTGGTGTTGAAGCA